CTATTTTGACCTAGCTCTCGTAAACGGTGAACCTCCATCACTGCTCTCTGGTTTATAGGTTGCCGTGGTTATGAGAAGAGTGCATTGCTACTCTTGACAGGTCATTCATCTCTCTCTCTCTCTTCTCTGCTGCCTTTCACTCTGTTTTGAATGCACTGTAGTTTGGGTATACAATATGACTAATGATAAATTGCAAGCTATTACTACTAAATTAGATGGTACCAATTATTCTTATTGGTCTCATGTGATGAAAAATTTTATAATGGGTAAAGGTATATGGAATTATGTTATTGGTATGACTATTAGACCTGTGGAATCTCAAGAAACTGAGGCCGATGTTGCTAAATGGGATAAGGAAAATGTACAAATTCTTACTTGGTTTCATAATTCAGTTCAAACTACCATTGGTATGAATTTTTCCAAGTATTCTACTTCTAAACAAGTTTGGGACTATTTGAAGACTATGTACCTTGAGTCTAACTTTGCAAAGCAGTATGAACTTGAGATGTCTATTCGCAGTGCTAGTCAGAAAGATAAGTCCATTCAGGAGTTCTACAATGAGATGACTACTTATTGGGATCAGCTTGCTTTGATGGAACCGTCCGATTTGCAGTTACTTGACAGTTATATCAAGTATCGGGAGAAACAACATCTTGTTCAATTTCTCATGGCCCTTCGTGATCAATTTGAGCCACTTCGAGGAGCTATTCTTCATCGGTCTCCCTTGCCTTCTGTGGATGGTGCTGTCCGTGTGCTTATTGCAGAAGAAACTCGGTTTAAGGTGGCTCATGGTACTCCTGCTTCCCAGTCAGTTTTTGCCACTCCTTCGCTTTTGCCCACCCCATCTTCTCATTTATTTCAAGTTACTGGTAAGCCCAAGCCTCGGGTTTCCATGGATGAGTGCAGCTTCTGTCATCAGAAAGGCCATTGGAAACATGCATGCCCTAAACTTTTGCAGCCCAAGGGTCGTTCATCTGGTTCATCATTCGCTAAGCCGACATTTTCAGAATCTCGCTCATCTGTCGCCTTTTCTGCACCAGTTTCTGAGAATGATCCATCTTCCAATATGCAGTCTATGTTTGAGCAGTTCAAGTCTTTCATGGTGGCCAATCCAAATCTTTCGGCCCAAGCCTCCGCTATGACTACCACTCAGTTCGGTTTGTCTGGTTCATCCTCTTCAGGTAATATCCATACTTCGTGGATCTTTGATTCTGGTTGTTCACATCATATGACCCCTGTTGCATCTCTCCTCAGTAATTGTGTCTCTCCTTCTTCTTCTATCACTATTGCTACTGCTAATGGTTCTTCTATGCCTGTACACTCTGTTGGTTCTATTTCCTGTTCCCATTTGTCTCTTTCTCCTGTATTTTATGTGCCTCATCTCTCACTCAGTCTTATTTCTATTAGTCAATTATCTGATTCCGGTTTTGATGTTGTTTTCTCTTCTTCTCATTGTGTTGTACAAGACCGAGTATCCAAGAGGCAGATTGGGATCGGGCGTAGAGTTGGAGAACTATATATCTTGGAGAGCTTGCATGTTCCTCTAGAAGTGTCTTCTACTGCATTGTCTTCCTTTTGTTTAAACAATAAGTCATCTTTGTTTTATATTTGGTATTCTAGGTTAGGTCATCTGTCGAGTGATCGGTTGAGGATGTTAGTTAGGTCTGGACATTTAGGCAATTTTCCCATTAGTGATATTTCTGAGTGTCGTGGTTGTAAACTGGCTAAAATGTCTGCTCTTCCTTTTAATAAAAAGTAGTTCTATTTCATCTTCTCCTTTTCAATTGGTCCATACTGATGTTTGGGGTCCTTCCCCTATAGTTACCAAAGGTGGTTCGCAATATTATGTAGCTTTTGTGGATGATTACAGTCGGTTTACTTGGGTTTATTTGATGACTCGAAAATCTGATTTTTACAAAATATATTCTAATTTTCACTCCATGATTCGCACTCAATTTTCTACCACCATTAAAATTCTTCGTTCTGATTTGGGGGGTGAGTATTACTTGTCTGAGTTTGAGGAGTATTTAGCTACTCATGGAACTATTCATCAGTCTTCATGTTCTGACACTCCTGCACAAAATGGTCGAGCTGAGCGCAAACATCGCCATCTCCTTGATACAGCTCGCTCTTTGTTGCTCTCATCTTTTGTCCCTTCTGTTTTCTGGGGAGAAGCTGTGCTCACTGCTGCATATCTTCTCAATCGGATGCCTACTCCTCTTCTCTCAGGCTCATCTCCGTATGAGCGTCTTTTTGGTGTTACTCCCAATTATTCTCTTCTTCGTATTTTTGGTTCTGCATGCTTTGTGCTCCTTCTTAAACGGGCGCGCTCCAAGCTTAGTTCTCGTTGTGTCCTATGTGTCTTTTTAGGGTATGGCATTAATCAGAAAGGTTATCGGTGCTATGATCCTGCCACCAAAAAGCTATATGTGTTTAGGCATGTCACTTTTTTAGAAAAACTACCCTATTATACTATACCTTCCACCCCTGTTCCTATTACTAAGGATGAATTGGTTCATGTTGACCCATTTCGTCCTAATGTTTCTCCTGATGAGTTTGTTTCTGACCTTGAGGTCTCTACTTTGCCTCTTACTAGCACTTCTAATACCTCTCCAGCTACCTCATCTCCAGCTCCCGCTTCTCCTGCTCCCGCTTCTCCTGCACCTCTTATTGTTTATCAACGCCGCAAAGAACTTCCGAGCTCACCTGTCTCTAGCTCTACTGTCCCTCCAGCTGTTTCTTTGGATCCCGCTCCTTCTGCACATCGCTTCCCAAAGCGAGATCGTCATCCTCCGAACTGGTATGGTTTTGGTAATACATGTTTTTCCCTTTCCTATCAGTGTTTTCTTTCTTGTCTTCATACATATTTTGAGCCCAGGTCTTACAAGGAAGCTTGTCATGATCCCAATTGGATTGCTGCCATGAATGATGAGTTAACTGCTTTGGCTAACACTCAGACTTGGGATTTGGTTCCATTACCTGCTGACAAGAATGTTGTAGGCTGTAAATCGGTCTATAAGGTCAAAACCCTTTCTGATGGGTCTTTGGAACGGTACAAAGCTCGTCTAGTTGCCCAAGGCTTTTCTCAGGAGTATGGAATTGATTATGATGAGACTTTTGCCCCCGTTGCCAAGATGACTACTGTTCGTACTCTTATCTCTGTTGCTGCTGCCCATCATTGGCCCCTGTTTCAACTAGATGTCAAAAATGCTTTTCTGAATGGGCATCTTGCTGAAGAAGTGTATATGCGCCCTCCACCGGGTCTCTCTCACCCTCCTGGTGTTGTTTGTCGTCTTCGCCGTGCTCTATATGGTCTCAAGCAGTCTCCTCGTGCTTGGTATGAGCGATTTCACTCTGTTGCCCTTCAGCTTGGTTTTCGCCCTAGTCATCATGATTGCGCTCTCTTTGTTCGACGCACTTCTGTTGGGCTTGTTCTCCTTCTCTTGTATGTGGATGATATGATCATCACTAGCTCTGATTATAGTACTATTGAGGAGGTTAAGCATTAGTTGTTTCAAGAGTTCGAGATGAAGGATTTGGGGTTTCTTCGGTATTTTCTTGGTATTGAGGTTGCTACTTCTCCTACTGGTTATCTTCTTTCTCAGACTAAATATGTCCGTGATATTCTTTCTCGTGCCAATCTCACTGATGAGAAAATTGTTGACACTCCTCTTGAGTTGCATGCTAAGTTTTCTGCTTCTGATGGCGTTCCTCTTGAGGATCCCACTTTGTATCGCGAGTTGGTTGGGTGCCTTGTTTATCTCACCGTTACTCGTCCGGATATCTCCTATGCTGTGCACATTCTCAGTCAGTTTGTTTCTGCTCCTCGTTCCACACACTGGGCTGCCTTACTTCGTACTTTGCGCTACCTTCGTGGCACTTTGTTGCAATGTTTGCTGTTATCTGCCTCTTCGGACTTGACTCTCCGTGCCTATGCTGACGCTGATTGGGCAGGTGACATCTCTGATCGCAAATCCACTTCTGGTCTTTGTGTTTTCCTTGGCGATTCCCTTATATCCTGGAAGAGTAAGAAGCAATCTGTTGTTGCTCGTTCCACTGCTGAGGCTGAGTATCGTGCCATGGCTTATGCTACTTCCGAGATCGTTTGGCTTCGCTGGCTTCTTTCTGATATGGGTGTCTCTCTTTCTGATCCGACTCCGTTGTATTGTGATAATCAGAGTGCTGTCCAGATTGCCCATAATTCAGTCTTTCATGAGCGGACAAAGCATGTTGAAATAGATTGTCACTTTGTCAGACAGCATCTTCAGGCTGGCACTATTACTCTCCCTTTTGTTCCCTCATCTCTTCAATTGGCCGATTTTTTTACGAAGACTCATACCGTTGCTCGTTTTCGTTTTCTTCTTGGCAAACTTTCGATGCTTTCTGCGCTCGCATCCTCAGTTTGAGGGGGGGTGTGAATTATGTAGTTTATATTATTCATTAAGAATAGTTTAGTACTTTAGGTTGTTAGGGTTTCATTCTATTGCTTATATATTTGTACTTCTTTTGATTAATCAATAGACACAAGTTTTGTCATCTGTTAACATATGTGATATGCCCACGTGGCGTCTTATTGGTCTGCCACGCGGGTGGAGTTTTGGTGATGTGGCACTTGTAGGGCTTGCCATGTACTTTATATAAGTACCCAAAAATGGTAAGACTTGAATTTGGGTATCACGCGCAGTAAGAGAGGGTTTCGCGTCTCATCAACTTTTTAATTGGGAATTCTAGTTCTTTTTTTTTTTTTCTTTATTTCCTTCTCTCTTCTATGAGCAGTTATTTAGTGTCACTTATTTCACAGATGTGACAATGCCACAATTAGATCCTGACTGTCCATTTGTGTGGCCTTCAAATTGAAATAAGAACATAATAAATGTAGGTATTTTAATTAGGTAGTGTTGAAGTAATAATTAACTTTTTTTTATAAGATAATCGGAGACCTAGGAGTCTCCACAAGTCTTTGATGGATATAATTTGTGAATATTTCTTTGTTGAATCAGGTTGTAAATCATGGAGTGAGCATTTCATTGTTAGAGGAATTCAAGAGGGAAGTTGTATATTTTTTCAAGCTTTCTTTGGAAGACAAAAAGAAATTATGGCAACAGCCAGACAACCATGAAGGTTTTGGGCAGCTCTTTGTGGTATCAGAGGAGCAAAAGCTCGACTGGAGTGACATGTTTTACATTACCACTCTTCCAACAAGTCTAAGGCGGACTCAATTATTTGACCTTCTACCTCCAAAACTCAGGTTTCTTTCTCTCTCTCTCTCATTGCAAAAGGCCTTGGTCAAATATGTATTTAAATATCACAATGAAGTGAAAAATGTGGAATCAACTGTACCATTTTATGAAAAATTAATAAAAAAAGAAAATCATGGCAACATATTCATCATCACTTTTTACTCTTTTTTTTCTTTGTCCATGGTAGAAATATTATATAGGATGAATGACCAGGCAAAACTATCATTTAGATTGTTTCTTTAGTGTTGTACACATTTGCAGTGGTACTTTCATTTATATTGTATATGTATGAAAAATTCTATGCTAAACATCCTTTTAAACGGTGTACCCTATGCTCTAGTTATGAAGATAAGTAATTTTAGTTATAAAGCATGTAGTACTTAGTTATGAGACTTTGTGGGGGTTGATTATGAGCTGCAGCATCCTTGGTTAAGAAATTTTATGGTGGTTGTCATTATAAGCAAACTGATCTTGGTTATGAGGCTTTACGGTGTTTGGTTATTAACCAAAATGATTGTTGGTTATGAAACTTTATGATGTTTTATTATAAAAAGAAGTGGTCTTTTGTGATGTTTTGGTTATGAACCAATTTGGTCTTGGTTATGAGTCAAATTGGTGGAAGTTATAAATAATTTTGACTGAAATTTTAAATGCATACCATATGCATCTGTTTTTGAGGTGTGTATAGTATAACTTCCTGTGTATGTGTATATTTATGTGTGGTAGAATGCTATGATTTTAATTCTATATTAATTGCAGGGAAACAATGGAAGCATACTCTGCAGAAGTGAAAAAGCTAGCCATGATCATCCTAAGTCAGATGGCTAAAGCTCTAAAGATGGACAATGAAGAGATGAAAGAACTATTCAGTGATGGGGTACAGTCCATGAGAATGAATTATTATCCTCCATGCCCTGAGCCTGACATGGCCATCGGCTTCACTCCTCACTCCGATGCAGTTGCTTTAACCATTCTGTATCAGCTCAATGACACCCAAGGCCTCCAAATTCGGAAAGAAGGGAAATGGGTACCCGTTAAACCATTGCAAGATGCTTTTGTTGTCAACATTGGGGACATCATGGAGGTAATTTCAAGCTTTAATTTACTCCATTCCATAGTATTGCTTGCAAAATGCTTTTGTTGTCGACATTGGGGACATCACGGAGGTTAAATGGCTTGACAATTGCATGATTGCATCAAGTTCATCACTCATCATTATATTTGCGACCAATATTAAGAATTTTTTTGTGAGGTGGACTAGCGTAGATCATTAATTTTGAGATTTTGAAAAACTGAATCGATTCATTTGAGAGTATATCGGATGACTCTTTCATTGTCATGATTACACCCAATCAGCGTGTAGTCACTTGGGAAATTATTTTGAGTTTATATTTGCGACCAATATTAAAACATTGGTTCAATGGTAAAATCTTAGCCTAATAACCTTGAGGTTATGGGTTCAACTCACGGGGCAACCACTATGTGCACTATGCCAAAGGTTAGGCGTGTTCCCAATCTTTTCCCTCCCAAACACACATTAATGTGTACTAATTGGGTGTTGTTTTTTTTTTTTATTTGTGACCAATATTAAGAATTTTTTCGTGAGGTGGACTAGCATAGGTCATTAATTTTGAGATTTTGAAAAACAGAATCGGTTGATTTGACAGTAGATGGGATGATTCTTTCATTGTCGTGATTACACCCAATAAGCGTGCAATCACTTGGGAAATTATTTTGAGTTTATAATGTGTATTCTGTCGACAGGGGATTCTTTGTCAACTGTTTTAGAATTTTTTAGGCTTCCAGTCAAATATCAAAATGAGACTTGTTTTACTGGGCCTTTAAATTATTGGGGTCAATGCCAAGTAAGAAATTTTTTGAGATTTTTTGGAGAGCTGCATTGGCATAGAGGCATAAAGGTTGAGCCACATCTGTAGCTCTTTCTTTCTGTCAATGCTGTCTCTCTCAATTGTATGATTATGTTTTGAGAATTTTATTTCTCGAGATTTCCACTACATTGAGTACATTAGGACAGAGGAATAGACAATAGAGGAGAGAGTAGAAGGCTCTCTCTCAAAATCAAGATCAAACTATTCAACTTTAGAAGGGGTTCAAAGGTTTTTTTGAGACCTCTGACTAAATATCAAACTGATACCTTATTTTCTTATACTTCAACAAATTAGGACGTCCAGCAATAATTTTTTGAATTTTTTACGAAAGCCATAGGTGTCCGGTTAAATAATTGAGCTACCTCTGCTTCAGACATTAGTTCATTAATTTTTTTGATATTTGATGTCAAACATTGTATACAGATTGTGAGCAATGGTGTGTATCGAAGCATTGAGCACAGAGCAATGGTGAACTCGAGAAAAGAAAGGATGTCCATTGCAACATTTTACAGCACCAATTTAGAGTCGGAGTTAGGTCCTGCGCGTAACCTTATTGGACCAAACAAGCCTGCAGTTTTCCGACGAGTCCCCTTTGACAAGTATTTCAAGGACTTCTTCGCCCGAAAACTCAAGGGTAAGTCGAACCTCGATTTCATGAAAATTGAAACTCATGAGGAAGATGGCTCAAGTTAAA